CTCATGGATTGGAAGAACAAATATTGTTAACATGTCCATACTACCCAAAGCAGTCTACACATTTAATTTAATCCCTATCAAAATACCAACAGCATTTTTTACAGAACTAGAACAAAGAATCCTAAAATTTGTGTGGAACCACAAAAGACCCTGAATAGTCAAAGCAATCTTGAAAAAGCAAAGCAAGGCAAAGCTGGAGGCATCACAATTCTGGACCTCAAGTTATATTACAAAGCTACAGTAATCTAAACAGTATGGTACTGGCACAAAAATAGACACATAGATCAGTGGAACAGAATAGAAATTCCAGAAGTCGACCCATAATTATATGGCCAGTTAATCTTCAGTAAAGCAGGAAAGAATATGCAATGAGCAAAAGACAGTCTCTTCAGCAAATGGTGTTGGGAAAATTAGAAATGTGCAAATGAATGAAACTGGACCACTTTCTTAAACCATGCATAAAAGCAAACTCAAAATTGATGAAAGACCTAAATGTGAGACCAAAAACTATCAAAATCTTAGAGGAGAGCACAGGTAGTAACCTCTCTGACAACTACTGTAGCAGCTTCTTTCTAGGTACATCTTAGGCAAGGGAAACAAAAGCAAAAATAATCTATTGGGACTTCATCAAAATAAAAAGCTTCTGCACAGTGAAGGAAACAGCCAACAAAACTAAAAGGCAACCTATGGAATGGGAGAAGGTATTTGCAAATGACATATCTGATAAAGGGTTAGTATCCAAAATATATAAAGAACTTACACAACTCCAGCAAAGCAATTCAGTTAAAAAATGGGTAGAAGACATGAACAGACATTTCTCTGAAGAATACATATAGATGGCCAACAGACACATCAGGGGAATATAAATCAAACCTACAATCAGATACCACCTCACACCTGTCAGAATGGCTAAAATAAAATACATAAGAAACAACAGGTATTGGCGAGGGTATGGAGGAAGGGGAACTCCCTTGCACTATTGGTAAAGATGCAAACTGGCGCAGCCACTGTGGAAAACAGTATAGAGGTTCCTCAAAAAGTTAAAAATAGAACTACTCTATGATGCAGCAATCACACTGCTGGGTATTTACCCAAAGAATACAAAAACACTAATTCAGAGGGATACATGCACCTCTCTGTTTATAACATCATTATTTACAACAGCCAAACTATGGAAACAGCCCAAGTGTCCATCAATTGATGAATGGATAAGGAACACACACACACACACACAACACACACACACACACACACACACACACACACACACACACACACACACACACACACACACACACACACACACTGCAATATTACTCAACCACAAAAAGAATGTAATTTTGCCATTTGTAACAACATGGATGGAGCTAGATAGTATTATGCTAAGTGAAATAAGAGAAAGACAAATACTATATGATTTTACTCATGTGTGGAATCTAAGAAACAAACCAGCAAAGGAAGAAAATAAGAAAATCAAGAAATAGACTCAATCAGGGGCACCTGGGTGGCTACTCAATCAAGTGTTTGACTCTTGATTTTAGCTCAGGTCATGATCTCACAGTTCTATGGGATCAAGCCCCGTGTTGGGCTCTCTGCAGATGGTGCAGAGCCTACTTGGAATTCTCTCTCTCCCTCTCTGTCTGCCCCTCCTCTGCTCACTTTTGTGCATGCTCTCTCTCTCTCAAAATAAACATTAAAAAAAAAAAGAAACAGACTCAATTATAGAGAACTGAGGGTTATCAGAGGGGAGGTGGGGGTGGGTGGGTGAAATAGGCGATGGGGATTAAGGAGTGCACTGCTCATGATGAGCATCAGGTGATATGGAACTGTTGGATTACTATATTGTATACTTGAAAGGAGTTTAACACTGTATGCTAACTACTGGAATTAAAATAAAAACTTAAAAAATAATTAGCAATCTGGTTCTAAACTTCCTCCAGTAGAGAAAAATGTATAAGAATTTGCAAAGACAGTTTGGAAAAGAATGATGGATACCAATACATTACATTAAAATTGAAGTCATTAAAATCATTGAGGATTGGTTAAGGAATAATCCATGGGATAGAATAAGGGCTACTTTAGTAGATGATGAAGTTTTTATCATATCAAAAAAGTAATCATGACCTATTCAGTAAACAGTGGTGCTGTTGTCTATCCATTTGGAAACAAAATTAGGCCCTTATCCCAAGCACAAAAATAATTTCCAGACAGAATGAAGAACTAAATATACAAAGTAAGGAGAATTTGCTCATATACCTCGGGTTAGAGCATGCCTAACCCAAATGCTAGAAAATGCAATTGGTTAGTAAGCAGATGATGGAACACTTACTTTTGTAAGTATATGGAAAATGCAAATTAGAACAGTTACCCTCTCCCCTGTTTTGCTCAATCAGATGGGGAAAATTTTGCTCAGCCAAATGTTGGCAAAGGGGAAACATACTTCCATTGAAGAAGTTGTAATGGTCTTTTTGGCAGTGTCCATTGTAATGTTAAGTATGTGTATCCTTAGAAAGAGTAATTTTGCTTCCAGATTTGTACCCTAGCTAAACACCTAAATACATGAGCACAAAGAAGCATTTACTGGATGTGGCATTGTTATTATTGGAGAACATGTCCCAAACCAAAGATCCATCATGGAAGTGCTTTTGTTTATAAATCATCCAATGGATTTTGAAAAAGACACCAATTAAGTTTAATGAAGGTAATTTAGAGGAAAACAAAAATACCTATGGGTTTTGTAACAAGAGCTATTTTCTCCCAGTGGGTACTTTTATCACCTCTTATCATCCATTTTATAATACATTTAAGCAAAACATTTCCCTTACATTACAGATTCATTTTCTAAGAGCAGTGCAGTTTTGAGTACCCTCCATATATGAGCAAGCACAGAATGGTAATTCTCTGGGGAAAAATTCAACTGAACAAAGCCTTACTTCCTTAACACAATGTGTCACTTCTTGGAGATTTCTCTTAACTACCCTGTTGTACCTGCCAATGAGGGGCAAAAGAAAGGAAAAGTCTGTATCTGTACGGAGAGCACTGAAATGGATTATTTTCAAGATTAATGTCATATGTGGAGTGGTGCTTGCTGATTAAATGTTTACCTTATACGTGTGATAATTGGTATTTAATATTTTAGATCTTAATATATTAGATCTTACAAAGCAGCCAGGGGAAATGTTCTCTTTATGTCTGTGCTCATATGAAAGAGATAAAGTAAAATTTCTTCACAAGGGCTTTTCAGAACATTAACTTTGGCAGCTTTAATCTATGGGTTTAGCAGTTGAGGATTGAAAATAAAAGCTTTGGCTATTGTCATTTTAATTCTGTGTATCTTCTGTGTTAGTTGTGAGAATGATGCTAGAGGTGAAAATTGCTTTTTAAAGTGAAAGAACTGTGGGATTTTAACCAAAGTGAGTGGTGTCTGATGAATTCATTAGATGCTTTTCATATAAAAGATTATCTTTATTAAGAGAAGAATTTTGTCCTGAAGATAATTTACAGTCCCTTAAGAAAAGAAGCTTATATTAATTAAAAGCCCACTACAATTTAAAAATCGTTTTACAAAGCAATTTCTTGAATACACTTTACTTGAAACCCTATTTTTCTTTGTAATTGAGGCAAACCTTAAAGAGGGAGCTGTGGGCCACTAAAATCACTTACACTGTGGGCAAAGCTAATAGAAGATGAGAGCTGTGCCCATGTCCCACTGAGAAAGAGAAGACACCTTGTTAAAAAAGTAAAACTGTGAATTATTTTTGCAGAAGTCAACGAAAGGTTCTGTTGTTCTTGACCACGTATTCCGACACATAAACCTTGTGGAGATAGATTATTTTGGGCTGCGTTACTGTGACAGAAGCCATCAGACAGTGAGTACAATGACTTCATATTAAATTTTTCTGGTTATAAATTTCACTCTCTCTCTCTGGCTTTTCCTGATGTGGTTTTAGGTAGGCAGTTTCTTTGTAACTGAAAATGATGTTGAAAACCTTTAACATGTTTTCCCTTGCTAATGTTTTTTTTGCATTTTGTTTTCTCTTCTGCCAAAAGTTTGTAGAATTGCAGGATTCACAACTTCTTTGTATGTGTTTCTGTTTGCAGTAGACTTTCCTGGTTTACATTTTTAGAACCATATCCTAGAGAGTACTTTTCATTTATGCTGTTAGGAGAACTGAATAAGCCATGTAATAAATATGTTAGGAGGCAAGTGGCTAGTCTTGTTTTTTTTTTCTTTTTTGTGGCGAGTCTTTTGAGGCCACAGATATTTACTTACTGCCTTTTACGAAAGTTAATGGTTAAAGAGAGAAAAAATGCAGTATTAAAAAGGTACTTACCTAAGTTTTAGAAGTTGGATGAGTAATTATAAAATAAATAAGTAGGGGCTTTCATTCATGAGCTTGATGGAGTAAGTAATAAAGGCAGCCAAGTTTTTGGTGTCTGATGTTAATCATTCACGAAGTTTAACTTATAACATCTTTCTGGCTGGTTGGATAGTAGAATTACTAAGAAACTCACTACATTGGTTAGTATAGATTCTATATGGTTATAAGTCTGAAAAGCAATTTCTTGGATGATAAATGAGGAAAGACTTTGGAGGTGGTGGTTTGGGGTATGAAAGGATATTCATTAGTGACTTCCGTTTTAGTCTGAGGAATATCTTAACCTCAGACACAGTCTTCTTGTGCAAAATGCTTACCTTACCTTAAAAATCCTGTTTGGCTTTTATTTTCATGCTATTCAACTCCTGTTGGAATAAAGATTTCCTCTTCTTCCTTCCTCATTTCTCGCAGCCTCCAGTGGATCATCTGGGGTCTGTTCAGTGAGGCACATGATTGTCTGAGTGGGTTTTTTTCTGTCCTGGTCACAGGAATGTGCTAGGATGAGAAGAGACAGGCAAATGGAATGCTATTCATGGTGGTAACTTGTGATTTTTCCTGAGCTAGTTTCATAATCTGTTTTGTTTCACAGGAGGATTTCACAAAGCAGGAATAAAAAATTGGGTGTGTTGGTTAGCTTTCCATAGAGAGGAATAGCTTTCTAAAGGCAAGCGGTCATTAAGGCACACTTCAAAGAAAGGGAAATGGACATCTTCAGGAGTTGCCTGAATTCTATCCTGTATAGGACATAAGTCAATACTGCAGAACTGTAAATCCATATTGAAAGATTAAATTGAAGGCTATCGAAGCTATCTTGCATCACATTCATATTTTTGAAAGAACATTTTTCCTAGCAGAGAACACCACTGGTTCCTGATCTTATCTGGTATGTCAGACCATGCCTGGAAAGATTGACTGTCGTGCTAAAATTATATAGACTTTATCTCCCTCCTTTTTTAAAAAACTTTTCAAAGGGAAAAAACATATGAAAAAAGCCAGAGATTTTCAAACAATGGCCTGTATCATTGCAAAAAGAATTAGCAGTTGATACTGATAAATAGTCAAAGTTTTCTAGGGTTTATATTAAGATCAACATTTTTTTTCTCCTACCTTTATTCCTAAGGGTTGGCATTTGTGATAGGGTTTGCGTTGCAGGTTTTAGAAGAAAATAAATTACAGTTAGAATGAGAAAGCTCTTAAGTCATGTTTTTTGATATGGTAAGAACATCAGGTGTGTAAATCACATGCAAAATCTATTTTTTGCCTCCTGAATTTAGTTCTTTGTAGTGAACAAAGATAAAGTAGAAGTGATTTGTAAATATTCCTTAGTCTTTTCACATCAAAATGTATTGTCTGATTGCTTTATATATATATTTTTTTTATTGTAGGAAGCTGTGAGAATAAGGTCATGAAAATTTGCCCCTCCTTTACGTAACCATTACATCAAAGCATACTGGAGGGCTGAAGTATATATCCAGGTAGAAATGTGATTCCATTACTGCTTCGCTTCTTTTGGGTATTGAGGCAGAACTAAGGATTTCCCTCAGGGAATAGCTCTGGCAGGCTTTTCACTCCAGAAGGGCAACCACCCAAGGCACAGCTTTGTTTCTAGGGAAATTGTCAGTGAACCCAAATTCACATTTCTCTATCTTCTATGTTAGTAAGAGCAGCCCTACATAGCTCTTAGTTACTTAAGGTAAAAATTTAAATAACCATGTGTTAGAATGGCACAGGACACAGTGAAAAATTTGTCTTTAAAAATAATGATTTCTGTGAATTTGCCTGAATTACTGTCCATTAGATTGGATTTTCTGCATTGCTTTGATCTTTTTCTGCACCAAAAGGTTTGCTTTTAGTAGGGAATGCTTTGCAACAATCTTGAACATAAATAAGATCTACATAGAAAAGACTTGGAGGCCCTGAGAGGGACCTTTTAGGTCAACTCTTAAGACAAATAAAAAGAGAAAGTAGGAGAAGGAGCTAGGGGTAAAAGAGAAGAAAGATGAGGATTAAGAAGAAGTGTCTCATATCAGTGAGAAGCCCTAGGCTCCCTCCCTCCCTCCCCTTGGCAGTGGATAGTGCCTTGGGGCCATGCCTAGACTCTGGCTGGGGGCAGACTGAGAGGCATGTCTCTAAGGCACATGGACCTCACATAGCAGGGAACTTGTCTGTCCTTGAGGAGCAGGGTAACCAAAAGGCTGGATCTAGACATGTCATCATCACCACCATCCATCACCATCTTTGTCATCAGTGCACCAGAAACTGTTGAACATTTTCCACATGTTGTCATTACCTGCTCAAAACAACTTTGCAAGCTAAATATTATTATCATACTATCAGAGATGAAGAAATGGAAGCTGAAAAGGTTAAGCCACTTCCCCAAGATCACATAACCAGCAAGTATTAGCACCAGAATTCAGACGCAAGGCTTCGTGTGTCCAAGACCTTCAACCACACAATATCCCGACTTGCTTGCATGTAAGATGGAATGGTTTTGCAGATGTAGGATACTAAGGAATTATCTTCCCCAATTTATATACTTAGGGTTTGTTGAGAGGAGTTAAATGGTATGTTCCAACAAGTCCTCTTCTCAGATTGACCTGTGGCAAGAGAGTTTATTTAGGCCTTTTTTGTGTATTTATGCTTTTATGTGGTCGTTCAACAGCAATTTAAAGAATGCCTAATATGTGCAGGCCCTGTGCTAGAGCTCTCTCTGTTTTTCACATAGTCTCAGGAATTCTGAGGAAAGGAAATTTGCTGCCTGGAATATTAAATGAAACACAAGTTTTATTAAACTATACATTTCATAAAACCAAGCCCTAGGAAATTCATGTAACAAATGCGTTGATTCAGGTGTCACCTATGTGTAAAGGGTGACAGCTAGGCAGAAGCAAACGTTTGTAAAGCAAACTTCTCTCCACAGAGTACAGCTGACTTGGTTTGGAAGATTGGGCACCATCATTTCTTAACTTCACTTTTCAGGTAGGGTCTATAAAAGAACCCCTAGGAAATAAAAGCATTTCTTCATGAAGACATGCTTATTGGGACTGAATTAACACACAATGCTGTCTGCCTCAATTCAGGCTTAGTTTTATAAAACAGTCTCTTAAAGATATGCAGTGGGGTTCACATACTCGCCCTTCCTTTTCCTAACGATACACAGGAGACCACTTAGCCTGGGCATACATCCTACTTTCTGCTCTGCTTTGGCTTGTGTCATTCTGGTTCTTTCTTGATCAAGACTGACCTGTGCAAGGGATGTAGCTCTTTCATATCAGGGCCTTGGTTCAACTTAACAGAAAATTCCCAGCCTCAGTTTAAGGTAGATGAGAGGAATTATGAGAACACACATAACAGAAAGACCCAGATTTATTGAAGGACCCTGCCACTTACTAGCGGTAAATATTTAAAATTCTCATATATACTGACCATTGCTCTAGAAAAGCAGAACTTCCAGAGAAGATGGCTCTCCCCAGTACATTCTAGGACTGACTGTCTTCAATTTGGTTGCTAGCCCAGCAGGAACACCTCATTCTCTGCATATGGTGTGTAGCTTGGCAGTTCAGCTTGGTGTGTCTTTGGTTTGAATGGGTTCCAGGTGTCTCTTGGCTGAGCATACTAATCCCCAGCACCTGTAAATATCACCTTACATGGCAAAAATGACTTTGCACTTATGATTAAGGATCTTGTACAAGGACATCATCCTAAATTATCCAGGTAGGATCATGTAATTAGAAGCCCCCTTAGACATGACAGGAGAGTCAGAGAGACAGAAATATAACAGTGGAGGCAGAGGTCAAAATCATGTGATTACTGGAAGGGGACCTTGATCCAGAGAGTGCAGGCAGCCACTAGAAGCTGAAAAATCATAGAAACGGATTCTGCCCTGGAGCCTCCAGAAGAAACAGCCCAGCGTCTTAGTTTAGGTTGGCTCTAACAAATCACCATGGACTGATGACATAAACAAGAACTGTTGATTTCTCATAGTACGGAGGCTGGAAACCTGAGATGAGAGTGCCAGCATGATTGGGTGAGAGCCCTCTTCCAGGTTGTAGACAATCCAGTTCTCCTTGTAACTTCACGTGGCAAAAAGAGCATTAGCTAGCTCAACTGACCTCTTCTTGTAAGGGCACTAATCCCATTCATGAAGGCTCACCGCTTGTGACCTTAATTATCTCTCAAAGGCCCCACCTCCAAATAACAACATATTAGGATTAAGGTTTAAACATATGAATTTGGTGCCGGAGGGAGCAAACATTCAGTCCATTGTGCCCCGTGAGACCATTTTGGATTTCTGACCTTCAGAATTGTAAGATGATAAAATTTTGTTGTTTTAGGCCAAGTTTATGGTAATTTGTTACAGCTGCAAAAAAGAAACTAATACACGTGGTTACAGCGGGAAGCATTTTAATTTTGCTTGCTCAGTGGAAATATAAAGGCTTTCTTGTTTACATTCACCAATTAGGCACAAACCTGAAAGACCATTACTTTCC